ACTGGGAAGTTATAGCAAAATCCTGTTTTGTGCATCTCATGGCCAAAGGAGCTTATTTCTGGATTTCTACTGGAAAGTGTGATATCTTTTGACTGAAAATGAATGCAAGTGAGATTCTGGTTGCGAAGTCATGGAATGTGATGTAGAACACTTCCAAAGTGATTTGAACAAGTTTTGAATCATTCCTTTGAAGTTACACAAAAATCCTGTTTGATGTAAAAATATTACATTTTTGGAATTTTCATAGTGTGATATCTTTTGACTGCAAGTTAGTACCAGTGTTATTCTTTCTGACAAGGCAGCGGATGTGCTAAATTACACTTTGAAAGTTATTTGACCGAGATTGTATTCATTACTGCAAAGTTATTGCAAAATACTGTTTTGTGTATGTCTTGGCCAAAGCTGCCAATTTCTGGATTTTGACTGGAAAGTGCTGAGTAACACTTTGATAGTAATTTTACCTAGGTTGGATTCATTACTTTGAAGTAATAGCAAAATCCTGTTTTGTGCATATCTTAGCGAAAGCTGCTTATTACTATTTTTTACAGGAAAGTGTGATATCATTTGAATGCAAGTTAGTACCCGTGTGATTTTTTTCTGACAAGGCAGGGAATTTGCTAAATAACACTCACAAAGCAGTTCCACCTAGTTTTGAATCATTACTTTGAAGTAACACAAAAATCCTTTTTTATGTGAGAGCAACTCATTTTTGGAATGTTGATTGTGTGATATCTTTTGACTGCAAGTTAGTACCAGTGTGATTCTTTCTGACAAGGCAGGGAATGTTCTAAATAACACTTTGAAAGTCATTTTACCTAGATTGTATTAATTACTGCGAAGTTACAGCAAAATCCTATTTGAGCATTTTGTGCTTTCTGTGAGGTCGTGGAATGTGATTAAAAAAAAAACAATATTAGTTTTGAGGCAATGACCTTAAATTACACAAAAATCTAGTTTTTTGCATACATGCTCATTTTTGGATTAAACTAAACTAAACTGTTGTTATTTTTTCGCTTTTCTTTGACACCTTCTCATGCATTTATTCAGCATTAGGCCATTTCTCAGCTGTTTTAAAAGAAACAGTACATGTCATGGACAAAAGTACTGAGAATGACACAAATGTTATATTTTCATATGATCTGCTGCTCTCTGGTTTTCATGTGTGTATGTCAGATGTTGTCATCACATACAGAAATAAAATTGCAATGATATTATGAGTAAAAAAGCTTTTAATGACAGTTAGAATGAGTTAATGCAGCAAGTCAATATTTGCAGTGTTGACCCCTCTTCTTCAGGACCTCTGCAATTATTCCAGGCATGCTCTCAATCCACTTCTGGACCAAATCCTGACTGATAGCAGTCCATTCTTCCGCAATCAATGCTTGCATTTTGTCTTTCGTTGTTTTCGTTTTTCCAATCGTCTCTTGATGATTGACCACAAGTTTTCAATGGGATTAAGATCAGGGGAGTTTCCAGGCGATGGACCCAAATTCTCTATATTTTGTTCCCTGAGCCAGTTAGATATCACCTTTGCTTTATGGCAAGGTGCTCCATCATGCTGTAAAAGGCATTGTTCATCACTAAACTGCTCTTGGACGGTTGCTCTCGGAGGACATTCTGGTACCATTCTTTATTCATGGCTGTGTTTTTAGGTAAGACTGTGAGAGAGCCGACTGCCCTTGGCTGAGAAGCAACCCTACACATGAATGGTTTCAGGATGCTTTACAGTTGGCATGAAACAAGACTGGTGGTAGAGCTCACCTCGTCTTCTCTGAACAAGCCGTTTTCCAGATGTCCCAAACAATCGGAAAGGGGATTCATCAGAGAAAATGAATTTACCCGTCCTCAGCAGTCCACTCCCTGTACCTTTTGCAGAATATCAGTCTGTCCCTGATGTTTTTCCTGGAGAGAAGTGGCTTCTTTGCCGCCCTCCTTAAGACCAGGCCTTGCTCCAAGAGTCTCCGCCTCACAGTGCGGGCAGATGCACTCACACCTGCCTGCTGCCGTTCCTGAGCAAGCTCTGCACTGCTGGTAGCCCGATGCCGCAGCTGAATTACTTTTAAGAGACGGTCCTGGCACTTGCTGGTCTTTCTTGGGTGCCCTGGTGGTTTTTTGGCAACAATGACGTTGAAATGTGTTTTGGGGGATAAAGTTCATTTTCTAGGTAAATATTGACTTTGCAATTAATTGCTGTTACGCTGATCACTCTTTATAACATTCTGGACTATATGCAAATTGCCGTTATAAAAACTCAAGTAGTAGACTTTATAAATTTTAACATTTGAATCATTCTCAAAACTAGTTAAAATAGTTAAAACATAAGTTATATATACCTACGATAATTCTGTTATTACCCAATACATCTGGTATTTGTATTACATCCCTTTTCCCTATACGAGCTGGTCGTAACATACAGTGGTCTGCAAAAGTTTGGGCAACCTTGTTAATTTCCATGATTTTCCTTCATAAATCATTTGTTCTCAGGATTAAAAAAATCTGTTAAATATATGATATAGAAGACAAACACAGTGATATTTGAGAAGTGAAACGAAGTTTATACCATTTACAGGAAGTGTGCAATAATTGTTTAAAAAAAATTAGGCATGTGCATAAATTTGGGCACCACAATAAAAAAAAATAGCTCAATATTTAGTAGATCCCCCTTTTGCAGAAATAACAGATTCTAAACGCTTCCTATAGCTTCCTATGAGAGTCTGGATTCTGGTTGGAGGTATTTTGGACCATTCCTCTTTACAAAACACCTCTAATTCATTCAGGTTTGATGGTTTCCGAGCATGGACAGCTCTCTTTAAGTCACACCACAGATTTTCAATAATATTCAGGTCTGGGGACTGAGATGGCCATTCCAGAACGTTGTACTTGTTCCTCTGCATGAATGCCTTAGTAGATTTTGAGCAGTGTTTAGGGTCATTGTCCTGTTGAAAGATCCAGCCACGGCGCAGCTTCAGCCTCGTCACTGTTTCCTGGACATTGGTCTCCAGAATCTGCTGATATTTGTTGGAATCCATGCATCCCTCAACTTTACAAGATTCCCAGTCCCTGCACTGGCCACACAGGCCCACAGCAGGATGGAACCACCACCAAGTTTTACTGTAGGCAGCAGGTGTTTTTCTAGGAATGCTGTGTTGTTTTTCCTCCATGCATGACGCCCCTTATGTCCAAATAACTCAATTTTAGTTTCATCAGTCCACAGCACCTTATTCCAACTTGTCCAGATGTGCTTTAGCATACTTCAAGCGGCTTTGTTTGTGATGTGGGCGGAGAAAAGGCTTCCTCCGCATCACTCTTGCGTACAGCATCTCCTTGTGTAAAGTGCGCGTAATAGTTGTACGGTGCACAATGACTCCATCTGCAGCAAGATCATGTTGTTTGTCTTTGGTGCTGGCCTGTGGGTTGACTTTGACTGTTCTAACCGTTCTTCCCTTCTGTTTATCCGTGATTTTCCTTGGTCTGCCACTTCGAGCCTTAACTTGAACTGTGCCTGTGGTCTTCCATATTCTGACTATGTTCCTAACTGTCGAAAGAGACAACTCATATCTCTTAGACAGCTTTCGGTATCCTTCCCCTAATTCATGATGGTGAACAATCTTTGTTTTCAGGTCATGTGACAGTTCTTTAGAGACTCCCATGTCGCTACTCTTCAGAGAAGGTTCACAGTGGAGGGAAACTTACAATTGCCCCCCCTTAAATACTCTCTCATAATTGGGTTCGCCTTGTGTGTGTAGGCCAAGGGTCACTGAACTTCCCAAACCAATTTTGAGTTCCAATAATTGGTTCCAAAGATTTTGAAATCAGTAAAATGACAACAGTGCCCAAATTTATGCACATGCCTAATTTTGTTTAAACAATTATTGCACACTTCCTGTAAATGGTATAAACTTCGTTTCACTTCTCAAATATCACTGTGTATGTCTCCTATATCATATATTTAACAGATTTTTTTTATCCAAAGAACCAATGATTTATGAAGGAAAATCATTGAAATTAACAAGGTTGCCCAAACTTTTGCAGACCACTGTAAGTGGGGCTTGTCTGGGATCAATCCAATTAAAGGGGGACCTGGATATCAAAAAAGTTTTTTTTTAACTAATGTTAAAAATCCTGATTCAACAAATTAACACAAAAACGGCAATCAAATACCAAAAGGGGACCAAAAAAGAACGCAAACCAACTGTTCTTAACATCGAATGCAAGACAGTTAAAACAAACCAAAACACAGTTATTCCACACAGACAAAATTCAATTCTAATGCCCAGCAGTTTCTAAACAGCAGTTTCCAAATTGACACAGAGGCATGGGAGCAGGCCAGTAACGACGTGCTCCCCGTCGTTCCTGGCTCATTAAATTCTGTGTGTGGCTCCTCCTGATTGACGGAATGACCTCAACGCAGGTGGATGGTATCAGTTCATCACTGTAGAGGCTCTTGGGAGCTGTAGTCCCAAAATTAATCCCAAGCTTTTCTGGGGCAGAAAAAAAGGGCTGCTTTCTCTTGCATCAATGCATCCTCGCCTGCATATTGACAATATAATACTCAATGAGACACAAAATAAGACAGCTTTAACGATTTAATCAAGCTGTACTTACCAATGAGAAATTACATAGTCCAATTCTATTTTTACACATCAAATAAATGATCAAATACAATTTTATCAAAATAGAAAACAAGTAGTTGGAAAAAAAAACTAAATACAATAAATAATAACAAAAAGGAACTTAAAAAAACATCCGCATGACTGTTAAATCTAAGAGTGTGGGCTCTTTGTTTCATGTGCATCCGATTGCACTGCCTCTTGAACAGCACGGCTCCCTATTCTCTTGTGACATAATTTCTTCTCCTCATTCATGTGTCTTGCTAGTTGTTCAGCTGTTGAGGAAACAAATCCAGTTATGGTGGTCCTTTATCATGTTGTCCGCTGACTTGCCTTTAACACTAACTTCTGCCAATAAACAAAATAGAGCTGGATTATTTCATGACTTTTTTTATGTCTTTTTTTTTATTAAAAGAATGTTATACAAGTCTGTAATTTTACTTGTATAGTGAAGCTATTTAATTGGTATTTAGAAATGGGCAGTGTGTTTTTTCTTTAAAAATGTGGTAAATGGTTTACTTTCATTTCAGTTTTATAGAGATATTAAACATTTAAATTGGAAATGAGTTGAAGTGTTTTTAGGCCATTTTCACCTGAAGTTCCACTTGTTTCAAACTAAAAGAAAATATGACTAAAAGATGACCACTACCTGAGTACTGGAGCAGACATGCCTGCTTTTTTCCTCCCCTCCATCTTAGCTGTTTTGCCTCACATCATTGTGCAGCCCATGACAGCTCTCGTACTCTGGATCGACTTGCTCTTCTTTGATTGCAATCCTCTTTGCATCCTCTGCAAAACAAAGACATCAACAGTAATACATGTGAAAAAAAACTGTGAGTTTGTTTTTTCAGCACTTGAGTGTTGGAATGGGTGTAGTCAGGGCCTTTTTACAGAGACATTAGCTACCCTAAAATAATTTTCAGACATTTATAAAGTCCTATATTTATATAACTTGTGATTGTAGTGGCAGTGTAGTCTGTGTTTGACGTTGGAATGCCTGTTGGGCCAATCCATTCTGAGACTTCCGTTTCAAAGAAGAAATAATTCCCAAACCTTTCCTGTTGGTAACAGGGGTGAGAACTCTGGCTAATTAACCATGGAAAGTCAGACATTGATAAACGAGGCGCCTGCTCTGTTATCAGAGAAAATCTCCTGCTTTATTCTTTATGAAAGCTTAAGTACACGGCAAATGGCTATTTTGATAGGATCAGTTTATAGAGCAGTAATTTCTGTGTTTAAAAGTTTCTAGTGTAGCGTTTGCATGGTTTCTCTTTTCCATTGTGCCCTTCTCCTCCTTACCTAAAGGTAATTCTAAACTGATCCAAAGAATGGCTGTAGGATATGTTGCTTATGTGATAGAAAAAGGAATTAGGCATGTGGCTTTTCTAATCTGATTAGCAAGTACTGAACTGCCAAAAGGGTGGCACGGTGGTATGGTGGTTAGCACCGTCGCCTCACAGGGAACCAGGACCTTTCTTTGTGGAGTTTGCATGTTCTCCCTGTGTCTGTGTGGGTTATTTCCGGTTTCTCTGGCTTCCTCCCACCGTCCAAAAACCTGCATGTTAGGTTGAATAGACATTCTAAATTGCCTTTAGGAGTTAGTGTGCATGGTTGTGTGTCTCTGTGTAGCCCTGCGATGGACCGTCCAGGGTGTAACCCGCATTGATTACTGGGTTAGGCTCCAGTTCCCCTCCATTAGGGAATAAGCTGTTAGGAAAATGGATGGATAGATGAACTGCTAACATTAGATTTCTGATGGGCAAAGTATGCTTGCTGGAACTTTGCTCACACCTCATTTAGGTTTGATGACTTTAAAAGAACATGTTTCTTAACTTCTGTTGTTTTTAACTGGTTATATGACTTCCCCAGAAGCTGACATGAGACGTCCCTGAGTGGAGGTGTTCCAATTACCTTTAGCCAGCTGTAGGTCAAAGGAGTACTGTGTCTCTTCCACCTCGCAGCCAGAAGCCAATCCCTTCATCTGATCGCGCAGTTCTTTCAGCTTGATGTAAAAATGCACCTTATCCTGAGCACGTGGAAACTGGGCACACCGGGGACTTGATGATGGCATTAAGTAACACACCTATGACACAGGAGAAAGCTTTTACTTAAATTTGTATTCAACACTGAGGATATATTTGAAAAAAAACATTGTTTCAGCATACCGTTTCAGTTTCAGGGATTCTGTATGGCTGCAGGCCAAATTCAAGATTCTTGGCCTTCACACCGAATGTTTCTTTGCAAAAGATTTCATAGATACCTTAAAAAAAAACATTAACAGAGCCAATCTTATTCTATTTTAATATCTCACCAGAAAGTGACCAAATACATTTTTTCAGTGCTAAAATGGCCTTACCTTTTCCATTAAAAGCTGCTATTAATGGCCTGTATTTCTGCAGCTTGTCAAGTAACTGTCGCCCGCCATCACGAATCTCCTTACTGTAAAATACCCAAAGATAAAAGACAACAGCAAACTATTTTATGCACAAAGTTCCAGCCCTCCATACTGATGTCCCTTGAATTTGGACATAGTCAGCAGATTTAATATTTCAATGCATGTGTAGAGATAATTTCTTTAAAATGCAAACATGTGTATCAATACTGGGTCTTGGTGTAGAGTGGGATTCTTATCCAGTCACCGTTATGTTGTTTTCTTTTTATACCACTTACCTGGAGAGATCTTTGCTACCAGGTGTGGTCCTCTCTACCATGTTAGTAAAGCCGATGCTGTATTTCTCTGGCAGGCTCTGGTCATGTGTGTAATTGAGCTGCTGTTCAGTCAGACCGGAGAGAAACAGACATTTCCCTGTGCAGAAAGAACAAAGCGAAGATGGAGCTAAAACTACAGGTAGCTTTGAACTAGTTTAAAAGGCTGTTTCACTGCTGAATTTCAACATACAGAAGTGGTTTCCTGGGTTCGGGTAATGATGTCCTTTGAAAGCTGACAGTAGTCCTGGGTTAATTCCAATCTGAAGAAAAATGCGACAGTGTCAAGAGGACACCCAAGATTCCACGTCCTTGAAACAACAGCACAGATAGAAATTCTACACACTTTCCTGGCAACTGACTCACGATCAAAATGTCCAGATTGTATGTAATAACATCGGGGAGGGTTTTGGCCATGACTTCCGCCACCGACATGCCGTTGAAACGGTTCAGAGCTCTCTTGGCTTTTTTTGCTGCTTCAGCATCAGTGTCCTCCTCCTGCATTTCGCCATCATCTGTATGCTGTTTAGGAGGTCGTCCCCTCTTCTTTTTCACTGGTGTCACAGCTAGGGTAACCAGAAGGAAATAAAAGAACAGATTTAAGAGAAAATACCAATAAAACCCCCACAGCAGAAAGAGACATTAGATAACAATTCAAATAATCCACAGAGTAGGGAGCAATTTGGCCAGTTCTACGTCGTAGAGAGAGACAGTTAAACACAAATCACAGTACAAATATCTTCCTTTACCTTGAGGTGGCCCAGAAGGCTGAAGTCGGAGCTTAAGACGCGGCTCCTTCTGTTGTATCATGTGGTGATGCTGAGGGGGTTGCATGACTGAAGGATGCTGCTGGTGCTGCTGCTGCTGGTGCTGCTGCTGCTGCTGCGGCAGCTCCCTGAAATTCTGTTGGTAGGCCTGCTCCTGGTAGGGAGTTGGGACTGGAGGGTAGCTATGGCAAAAAGCTTCCTGGTAAAGCGATGGATCCCGATGGACAGACAGCTCGGCCATGACGGGCTCCTCTTCAATTGCACCCTCAGCATAATGGCCCATATTGTGATATGGCATCACATGCTGCACCTGCGGGTGCTGCTGACTGGACTGGTACCTTGAGGGAAGGAGAAAGGGGGTTAGGAGAGTAAGGACAGAGAAAAGGGACTAGAAATAAAACCTGTAGAATCTGTAGTAAGCAAAGAAAGCAAAATTTTGTCAGGTGTTCCATGAGGTATGTGAGGAAGAGGGTGTGAGGAATACTTGCACACAGTTACACAAGACAAAGTGCGCACAAACATACATGCATATGATGTACACCATTCTGTACGCTGTGCATTGCATTTAATCCTATAATGCATTAATGCAAGTTAGGGTGCAAACTTCTTTCTTGTGATCTACCTATCGTCAAATTCATCTTAAACATACGCCTCTTATTTTTTTGCATCCACTCTAAACTTGAAAAATTGTGTCAGTAAAGGCCTTTGCTGATTGTTCATATCTTATAGTGTACCAAACACTTTGCAAATGGTAAAATATGAGAATGAGGATTATTTCACTGCCCAAACATAATATAACTTTCTCTTTACTGCTTCTTTCTCTGCCTGGGACTTTCATGGCCTTTCTGTAAACCTAAGAGCCATTTCAGATAATTCTACTATTTGCTTCTTTTTAATAATCAACATAGTTTTAAAAAAACGTTTATGCAATCTCCTTTTCAATTAGCACATGTCTTTTGGTCTGTTTTTGGAAAACAATTTATCACATTGTAAATACAAGCAATACACAAAATGTATTACATGATCAAGATTATCATGATTTATAAAATGGATTAAATTGGCAATAATTATTGATCACTTATAATGTTGTTATAAACTACATTATAACATAATGTAGGCTATTCCTGATTATAAGAGAGAATTTTGTGCGTGATCATATTCCAAAATGTTCATCATAATGACATTGTGACCGGCTAGCATAAACATGTACAGATACGTGTGATGTTCTTCGTCAAGTGATATTTCTTTCTCGTTTTCTTCATAATGCATGAAAATGAAGACGTCGAGGTGCCAAAGATCAGAAGTTACCCCCAATCCTACCGGCTCCGACACAAACTCACCACTGCTGAAAATAATCCGAAGGAACCGTCAGTGATGTAAATTGGTTTTCTTCCATCTTAACTGTTGACTTAATTCAATGAATTAACATCCATTCTACTGTCAAAAGGTCATTACTAGGTTACAAGTATTTCACTTACAAATGCATTGCATTGCGGAGCACAAAGACGAATGGACGCCGCTACAGGGAGATTGAGTTAGTAGTAATCCAAGAACAAAAACAGAATTCCACATTTGTTTAAAATCTGCTGGTGACTTCTACATCAAAGAAAACAGACACGTTTTGGAATATAGTAACATACCTGTCGTACATTTTTTCTTAAGGCTCAAAATAAGAAAACGGGGGACTCCCAAAACAAAGACCATTTAAACGCTCAACATGTCGTTCCCAAACGCCTTCCGCCCCCTTGTGGTAATTATTGGTACTAAAGGGAAAAAAACAATTTCTCTTCTTTAATGACCCTGTCTACTGACTATTGAAACGAAAATGTGTATTAATTAATAATAGTATATAAAAATTCAATGTTATTCAGAAATTCAAACATGGGGAAAAGGGGAATTATAGAGCCCGCGGTTTGGACTGCATGAGTTACAACATCCTACCGACAGAGGGCAGATTCAGAAACTCACCAATACGAATTTATAATGGAGAACACAGCCATGGTCGAAGATAGATCCTTTAACAACAGTCATCACTCCATTTTTTCTTTAAAGAATTGGATAAACCTTTCAAACGCTACATCCGAGCAACGTCGTTCAGTCATCCAGTTTTATATTATATCCACACAGTAACACACGTAAACAGCCATTACTCGTAGTTTCGGGAAAAAATACGTTGGGTACAACTTTTGTGGCAAACCCGTATCAAAAAAGATGGCTGACTGAGGAGTGAGAACTCATTTCATTTTAAAATCTTGTTGTTAGCTAAATCGCATGACCTGCCTATGTGTTCCAATGACAGATTCCGGTTTGAGATGTGAAAGACAGCGTAACTTAGAAGCTATTAACCTGCTGTTTAACTAAACGAGGCAAAAGATTTATGTCAGGTCAGTTTAAATGTGTTTCTTTGTTAATTATAGCTACATTTTTGGCTATTACACTGCTCTTTCATACTAGCGTTCCTGTCAGTGTACAACAATTAAACAGTCTTACAGCTCATACACATAAAGTGTAGAGAACTTTACATATTGAGACACAATGGCTTGGAAATCATGGTAATCATGGGTTACATGATTACCGGGTTTTCACAGCAGTTTGATGAATTTGTGGTATAATTGTGAGTTCAACTTCGTTGCATAGGTTACGTAATAGGTCCAATGTTGACATATAATGCAAATTTTTGTACACTGGGTAAATTGGTCTTGAAAGGGACGTTAATTAAGTAAAGATTGCAGATAATATTAGATTTTATATCCATATGACAAAAAAAAGGGATTGTATCGTAATAGATTTTTAAAAAGTGATTTTGTTCTTTCTCTCTTTCTGATTGTCAATTTTTCATCATCTCCCCCCCCCAGTCTGAACTAGATCACATCAGTCCTTAAAGATGCCCGCTGGTGTGTCGTGGTCTCGATACCTTAGGATGGTTGGAGCCAGTATTCTGGCCATGTTTGCAGGAGCACAGGTCGTTCATCAGTACTACCTGCCTGATCTGGTGAGGAACTAAATTCTCTTGTGCAAATGAACTGGGTTTGGATTCAAAAGAGAGAATAATAACACCCATTTAAAGAACTCAAAGTGTTGTTGTTTTATATGCCTGAACAAGGGTTTATTGTCAAATTAGTATTTATATCTGAAATAAATTAGCATTATGAGCAGAAATAAAATATATGCAGTAAGTAATACAGCTAATACAGCAGGGGGAACTGGAGCCTATCCCAGTGGTCAATGGGCGAGAGGCAGGGTACACCCTGGATGGTTCGCCAGTCTATCGCAGGGCCACACAAAGACACACAAGGATAAACAAGCACGCACACACACACACGCACACTCACACACAATCATTTTGTTAGTTTGAAGCCTGAGAGCCTATATTTCCGGTTACAGTTATCATCTCTCGCTGATTCTTCCCCATACATTTCAAAGGCTGGACGAAAAGCAACCCAGTCTCCTTGGCTAGTTGCCTCTAACGTGACCAAGAAGGCTGATAATTCATACAGATTCCACTGAACCATGATATTAAAAATGTGCGTTGTTCTTGAAGATTTGTATCTAAGGCAATATGTTTCAGGAATTCAGCAACTCTAAAGTGAGCAAATAAAAGCCAATTCTAACAGTGCTTAGTGTTCCATTTTTCAGAGTATACCAGAGATCCCTCCAAAGCCCGGTGAACTTCGAACAGAACTGCGAGGTTACAAAGCAAGAGAAGAAGCGGCCGCTGCCATAGAGCAGTTAAAAAAAGGACAAAGTGTGGACTGATGTGGAATTTTATTTTCTCTGCATTAACTCTCAGGGAAGTAATTAAGCTATATGGTTCAATGTACCTGGAAACAGATAGATATGTTCTCTTTTCCTCAAATGGAAAAAGCAAGGACCATGTCAGGGTAGATTCTTCATCAACCAGAATAAGGTCAACTGGTACTCTAGTACCATCCTTATTCTGTTGGTCTTATTATGACAATTGTTTATCCATCTCCACCCTCCCTGAATGTGTCTGTATATTTTGGAGGAGTAAAATCCAGAATAAAAGGGTGACATTGAACAAATGGAATCCTATGAAGATAGTAAGTTTCTTTTCTCACAATGATGGTGAAATGCATTTAAATACTCAATGTTGTTGGAAATAATGAATAGATGACGAATAATAAAATGTTAAACACTGAGCAGTTGGTCTCAAAAATGATTTATGTAGATTTTGGTGTGAAATGTCCACACATTTGAACAATGATGTCAAAATGATTTGTGTTGTATCATTGAAATGCTTTTTGTTTTGGACAAAAAAATCCAAAGCAAATGTCAAATCTTTATCGACTTTATATTTTCTCGTGCAAAATTAGCAGCAGTTGCTTAATATATAGATGAAAAAGGGGTTGCGTCAGTATCATAGCAACAAGTTTAAACAGAAGTGGAAAGATGGCGACTCAGACAGAGAAAGACGCTGCAGACTATGTCGAGAAACACAAAATTGTCGAACTAATGGAAAATTTAACCAGCATGCTTTTCTATCACAGACCAGGTTAGAGCTAATTTCGTCTCTATAGATACAACTTTTTTCTTTCTATTCTATTGCGAAAATGCTAAATGCTTTGCTATATCTAGCTGGATAGCTAGTATGCTCGGTTTAAAATAAGTAAGGCATGTTAAGGTGTTCTGTAACTATATTATTGAAGTGGTTCAGAGCTGAGTTAAAAAACATAAAAACCCATGGTCACACGTATTGAGAAACAGGGTTATCGCTGGTTAAGATAACTGGCAAGATAAAACTACTCTATTCTACTGTACGGTAGTGTTTAGCAGAATCTTTTGCTTAATGTTCTCTTATATTTATTTGGTTGTAAACTTACTAAAGCGTGTTAGCTGAACTATTGTTCTTATTTTAGTAGTTTAGAATTTATTGCATTTCAAAGGTTAGCCTTTGAACTTCATAAAAGTATTTTTCTCGATATGACACTGCATATATTTGGCTAAAAACTGATGCAGCTAAATAATCGACATTGAATGTTTTCAGTAGAAAAAATGGTAAACGTATCTTTAAAAAAAAGCTGAAAACAGCAAGTACTTTTTGATGTACTGGTGCTAGTTATCTTATTCAGAAAATCCCAGAGAGTTTCTAATGGAACAACTGAAGCAGCTGAAAATGTCCAAACAAAGTCATGTGAAAGGGCCTAACGTGTTCAACAACGCTGACCTGGATGCAGTTTTTGAAATACTGGACCCTGCCAATCAAAAATATATTACCTTTGCACAGTACAAGCATGGTAAGTGCTGGTTTCTTTTTAGTATTAGGGTTAGGGTTAAGTCTTTCTGTGAAACACATATTTTGGCATTAAGAGTTCAAATGTGGTTGTAGTGCAAAAAAAGAAATAAAGTTATTTAATTATTTCTTTTTTCAAATACATTTTATCCGCCCAGCTCTGAGGACTCTGGGCATAGACAATATCAATGAATGTCCAGAAGGTGTAAATGAAGACAGAATATCCCACGAAACATTCAAAACAGAAGCGTAAGAGCACATCATAAACATTGTTTGACTTACATGCCATTCCCCCCAGCATATTGTGAAAGTAATGCTTGTCTGTTTACAGGATGCAGGGTCTTCAAAGATATTCGGCAACATACGCACAGTGATGGACCTTGAAAATAACTGTCATTTGCTATGTAAAGTGATTTTGTAAAATTAGTAGAAGTGCACACATTAAAGTGAATGAACTGATTTCCATTCTGTCATCAAGTGTTTTTTAAAAAGTCAAAAGTGGCTGTTGCATCTTTGTTTACCATTCCAACTATTTTTTGATACTATCATAATATTTTTTTTAATTACATTTAACTTAAACATAAAGCAAAAAATCTGTTACAGTTTCCTAATGATGTAGACTGAAAACCACCAAATATTTTCACCCTTTCTGAAAAATCTCATCACAGAAGTACAGCCTACAGTGGCCTAGACGGGTCCATTTAAATGCAAATATCATTCTGTATTTTGTTATAAAATGTTTCATTTTATATCTATATTCCGATTCCATTTTATGTCTGGAAAATGAATGAATGGCAAAAATAAGTACATAGTTAGATTAAGATGATAACACATCATAATTTAAATGTGTAAATGCATGCTGAAGATTACAATTTTGTAATACAACACAACAATATATTGATAGAAACGATTAATACATCCAACATTTTCCGAACCCGGCCGGCTTTCTCATTATGCTGCATAAGGAGAAAGCCGGTCTTGTGCGAAATTCTGTTCCCCTGTGAAAATCTGTTCCCCC